CGCAACAAACACATTTTGGTGATCATTTGTCTCTTTTTTGGTGATCAAAAGACAATTTTCTCCAAGAAAAAAGCCTACATGCACACGTCATTTTTTCTCGTTCTGTTTTCTGTCTTGCATAATTAGTCAACCGAATTTCGCAATAAATACTATGATGCACAGCCATGTTTTATATATATATACCGTCATTCAACTCAAGTTTACACACGTAAATTTTTATTATAACAACACTGGTGAATGGCGAATGCAACTCGTTCAAATAAAAATGATGAACTTATGGAAGTTGATCGTGTGGGAGTAAAAATTGATTATAGAACAAAATCACAACGTTTCTCATGTCAAGATCCTGAGACACTCGCTGATGGTTTACGTCATCTTGAACAACATGGATACACAATCATATCAGATGTATTAGATGAAACGGAAATTAACACTGCAAAAAAACTCATTTGGCAACATTTAGAAGGTCTCAAATCGCCATATAAGATAAAACGTGGACAAATTCAAACATGGAATATATGGCCAGGTAGACATGAAGCTGGTATTATTGAAGATTTTGGAGCTGGTAATTCACAAGCTCAATGGTTTATTCGTTCTATACCTGCAATCAAAGATGTTTTTGCTGCAATATGGCATACTCGAAATTTATTATGCTCAATGGATGGTATTGGTGCTTTCAGACCTTGGCATTTGAATCCACAAATTCAGCGTAAGAATAATAATACTAACTTTGAGTTCCTCTTTTTTTGTTTTACTGCGGTGTGATATATATATATCTTTTTTTTTCTATTTTATTTTATTTATGTTGTAGAGAGAGACATTGAAACTAACACTAATCCATGGAAAACTGTTGGTGCTAATTGGCATGTCGATCAAAATCCAGTTACGAAACCAAATCGAGTTTGTGTTCAAGGTATCATTAATTTATTACCCGCAGATGAAACAACCGGTGGATTAATGGTTATACCTGGTTCACATAATCGTTTTCATGAATTACTTTCTATTTGGACAAAATCAGGAAATAATTCTAAAATTCCTGTATATCATGAAATATTACAAGAAGGATATGGTTTATTAATTCATGCTCAACCAGGTGATTTATTATTATTTGATTCGCGTACTGTTCATTGCAATAGTCCTTCATTTGTCGCACCACCACCAATAAACCATGGTGAAACGCCTGGTTTATTAAGAATGATTAGTTATATTTGCATGACACCATTGACATTTGCAGAAAATCCAGATGAATTAATTGATCGTCGACTAAATGCATTTCGCTATCGATTAACAACATCACATTGGCCCCATGAATTTCAGATTATGGGAGGAGAAATATCAAGAGGTGAAAATAGTATTCAATTGACAGATTATCAACGAAATCTCATTTTAGGCATTGATCAATAATATTTGCAAAATCCTTTTTTATCTGAATCATATCTTGTTTTTATAAAAAACCATTAATGTTTTCAGATATTATTTCACACAACAAAATCTGTCATATTCAAAATAAAACTTCTTATCAATCCACAGATGAAGTGACGATTGATAAAGTCAATATTTACCAATAATGCAGATATTCATCTATTACTGGCAGATGTCTTTTAAAATAATGAGTTTAATAGATAGTTGCGATAGTCAAATAATGAAATTCATTATGATTTCAAAGGATATATTTTTGCTCTTTTACAGACCAGCAAACATGTTTTAGCTTAGGAAATTTATGGCATATTTCATCAATAGTGGTACTAAGTACGATATTTTCGATAATCAAATTTTTTATTATTCTATATGCATTTTAATTATCTACTGATGAATCGATAATTTATATCAAGGTCATTAGACTCATAGTTTGTTGATAAAAATAACAAATTGGCAAGTTTTTGTAGTTGATCAATGTTATCAATGATGAATTCGAGCGATAAAGTTTGAATTTGTTCGAGGGATGACTGAATCAAGTTTTTCGATGGAACAGAAAGTACAATTAATTGTATGCGATCATCATTGATTGAATAACAAACAAATTGCTAATTAATATAGTTTTTCCTTTACTGAATACTAATGATTTGTTGGA